CCAGGCGAGCGCGCTACCGCTTGAGCCACATCCCCAGCCCAGCAAAATTAATTTAAGGATAAAAATGTCTACATTAAAATTATTTTCACTTAGTAAGATTTTTTTTCATCTCTCATTTGATCTAAAAGAGATACAAAAAGGAGATACACTCTAAGGGATTTAAATCTCTAAAGGAATAAAAATGTTATCATCTTCAATTCTCTCATTTTGTTAATACAGAATTTGGGGAAGACTAACTAAATTGTTACACTGGGAAAATTAGTTCAAGAGACACTGAACTCAGGAATATTTCAAAATACTTAAATAATCTCCAAAAGGTAGAGAGATTGTTACGACTCACTTCTGACATTACACGAGGTAGTGTAGAAAATGAGCAATGGAATGACTCATTCCTGTTGGTAGAATGATGCTTCTTGAAAAGTTACAGTAGTCTTGAGACTTAACTGTTCTATTGGTTTTTGTTGTGGTTGTTGATTTTGGTATCAGGGATTGAACCCAGGGGTGCTTAACCACTAAGCCACATCCCCAACCCTTTTTTATACTGTATTAGAGACAGGGTCTCACTGAGTTTCTTAGGGCCTTGCTAAGTTGCTGAGGTTGGCTCCGAACTTGTGATCCTCCTGCCTCAGGCTCCCAAACTGCTAGGATTATAGGCATACACCACTGTGCCCAATTTAACTGTTCTATTTTTGACCACCAAAAAAATGCCACAGACTAGTCTATACTACCCAGATTCTCCATCTTATGTACTATAACATAGAACTATTCCATCCCTCAAAGAGAAAAGGAATAATAGCTTTTGAAATAATAGAATTAATCATTTAGCCCCAGGACTATTTAGTCAGGTTAGAGCTATATGTAAAATACACCAAAAGTAATACTTTCCTACTTAATTTCTAACTAAAGGGTCAATGCGTTTTACATGTATTTACTAATGAACCTGATGTTTTATGAATCTTTAATCTAAAACTATTCCGATAATCATAAAAAGGCAGCCATTAAGAGCCCAGATATCCCAATAGAGGTAACACTCTAATCTAGTGCCACATTCCTTCCTTACAAATAGCAGACTTTTGTAAGGTACAGGGGCATATGCTTATAGTCCCAGCTACTCAGGAGTCTGAGGCAGGAGGATTGCTTGAGCCCAGGAGTTCAAGGCTAGCCTGGGCAATATAGAAAGACCCTATCTCAACAAACAACAACAACAAAACCCCACAAAAAGTAGACATTTTTAACAGCAAAAACAAAAACCCAAAAGTAGAAGACATTTTTAAACCTGGTATGGGACACTTACCAGTTAGAAAAACCAAGATGTCTCCAGCCATTTCATTCAAATGGATATCCATGGTCACTTTCACAATCTAAAGAAAAAAAATACAACTGTAATATACTATAGAAATACAGTCATTCCCCTACTACTTTGTCCCCTTGCTCCATAGAAAAGTTAAATTTGGTTCTCAAAAGTCCTAGGACCCTAGAAGATATACAATTGATCAATATATGAAAAAAAAAGTTCAACTTCTCTAGTAATTAGAGAAATGCAAATTAAAACTACTCTAAGATTTCATCTCACTCCAGTCAGAATGGCAGTTATCAAGAATACAAGCAACAGTAAGTGTTGGCGAAGTTGTAGGGCAAAAGGCACATTCATACATTGCCTGTAGGACTGCAAATTGGTGCAACCAATCTGGAAAGCAATATGGAGATTCCTTAGAAAACTTGGAATGAACCACCATTTGACCCAACTATCCCACTCCTCAGTCTATACCCAAAAGACTTAAAAATTGCATACTACCATGACATAGCCACTTCAATGTTTATAGCAGCAAAATTCACAATTGCTAAACTGAGGAACCAACCTAGATGCCCTTCAACAGATGAAAGGATAAAAAATCTGTGGTATATATACACAATGGAATATTACCCAGCATTAAAAGAGAATAAAATTATGCATTTACAGGAAAATGATGGAGTTGGAGAACATCATGCTAAGCGAAATAAGCCAAGCCCAAAACCAGGGACTGAATGTTTTCTCTGATAAGTGAATGCTAATCTGTAATGAGGTGTGTGGGTGTGTGTGTGTGGGATGAGTGGAGAAACTTTGGATGGGGCAAAGGGGAAGGAGAGGAGGGGCAAAGGGGTAGGAAAGATGGTAGAATGAGATGAACATCATTACCCTAGATATATGTATGATTGCACGAATGGTGTGACTCTACTTCATATACAATCAGAAAAGCAAAAAATTCTGCTCCATTCTGTACAATGAATTGAAGAGCTTTCTACTGTCATGTATAACTTATTAGAACTAAAAAAAAAAAAAAAAAAAATCCTAGGACCCATGAGGGCTGTCATTAAAATAGTAGAGAACAAATGAATTACAACACTACACAATTAACTAGAATCACAGATATAAAAAAGACATAAAAATGACACCAAGTAATACCGCTTGAATATATGCAGTATTTTCTCTATCTCGTGGACCAATCAAATTGCAGAATTTCTCTCTGACTGGATAAAGCCTTCCAGGTATATCAAATATTGGACAATTTCCAAAGAATGCAGAGAGCTTGGCCAATTCCATTGTTGCGGACATTACCACCACCTTTAAATGCTCCTTCCTATTAGGAGACTTCTCCTGAAATAGCTTCTTCAATAAGCCAAATAAGATATCCTGAAAAGAAAAATAAAGTCTAGTAAGTCACAAGTGCATCTGCCAATCAAACTACTTTAAATAGATTATTATCCCAACCAAAGAACTCCTATTTTAGTAGAGTAAAATATAAGAGAAGGCAATTTTCTATTCAGTAAAGAGCAAACCCAAACAAGTAAACTACGTGCTAATTAAAAAAAAATAACAAAACTGAAAATATATTAAAATACTCACTGTAGTTAGAGTTCTCTCATGGGCTTCATCCAAAATAATGACACTAAACTTGGTAAGATTTGGATCTCCCAAAATATGTTTCAGTAAACATCCATCAGTCATGTATTTGATTGCTGTTTCCTAATGTTCAAACACCAAAGTATATCAACTTATAACATCACAAAATTCACTACTACTTCTACAATGAAATTTTTAACCAAACTGTCCAGACATTAAATGATTGAACCAATCTGATTAAATAAAAGTGTATATAAAATAGTCTAACAAGGACATTAAATTATGAAACTGTGTGGCCTATAAAGATAAGGAACTAAGGTGGGTGTTTTGGGATAAAGTAATACAAGTAACCTTAAAGAGATACAAAGAAGTCAATGGAAAGTGACAAGACAATGCCATGGCTTCAGGTAAGCAAGGTGTGGGAAACAACAAGGAAATTGGATTCATCTGTTCTCTTAGCCACTACTTAGAGGACTTAGGGGAAAAAGCAGAGGAAATGGTAAGTGTATACCACTCACTCTCTTCTCTCCCCTACCCATTCTATTAAAAAGAAAAAAAAAAAAAATAGTGTCACTTGCCTAGCATTAAAATGAGGTAAGAATACAGCCCAAAAGCTAGCGATAACAGCATTGACATTCATAAAATAATGAAGGAAAAAGAAGGAAAAATCCACAGGCATGAACACTAGAAAGGAAGACAGTATTCTGGAGAAAACCATTTGATAGCCACTTCTACTAGAAACCATATGTAAATCAGGGATTGTTTTACATCTGACATAGGACTGAGAAATCCTGAAGAAATTTAAACTACCTGTTTATTAAAAAGAAAACAATTTTGAACTTGGTGGCATGCATATAGAAGATGCTTAATAAATACTAACTGCCAGAGCTGGGGTGGCTTAGTAGTATATAGTATAGCACTTGCCTTATCTAGCATGCTTGAGATACTGGGTTCAATCACCAACACCACACACAAAAAAACACCTTGCTGACCTTGTTAATTAACTTGTCAGTTTCCACTGACTTCAAAAACACAAACACACAACACTGAATAAACTTTTAAAACATGCTAAGTGAAATAAGCAATACACAAAGTTCAAAATATTGTGTGATTCCACTTATATGAGGTACCTAGGTTAGGCAAATTTACAGAGTAGACTATAGGTTACAGGCGCTGGGTGGGGTGGGAATGAGGAGTTTATCCTTTAACAGAAACAGAGTTCTTGTTTGGGATGAGGAAAAAAAAGTTCTGAAAATAGTGGTGATGGTTACACAACAGGTTGTACAGTACTTAATACCACAGAATTGATTCTCAAAGTGGTTGAAATGGTAAATTTTGTCATGTACACTTTACTACAATAAAATTTTTAAAAAATATATAAATATAACCAACATGTCAAAGAAACTTAGGGCAAAAAAGAAAAAAAGAGAGAAAGAGAAAGAGAATCCTAACAAAAATAAACCTGTCACTTAAAAATTAATTCAACAGGGAAAAAATGGGATAAATACCACACTGCAGAGGTAAAACATTAACAATGAACAACCAAAAATTAATTCTAATCTGAGGCTTTGTTTCTTTAAAATACATATGGAATTTTGAGGTTAAGAACCTTATAGAACATTTTATTCTTGTTCTGTAAGTTTATAGTAGTTAAACAAATAGCAACAAAACTTTTATACCTTAGAGCTGCAATCATCAAAACGAACTTGGTATCCTACTTTGGATCCCAAAGTGCATTTCATTTCTTCAGCAACCCTCTGAGCAACTGATATGGCAGCTACTTTTCGTGGCTGAGTCACACCAATCATACCATGCTGTGAAAACCCTATCAAAATCAGGGGTTAAAAACACCATGTTAATAATTGCTTCCACCTACCAGAGCTAAGTCAATAAATACAAAGCACTTTAATATTTCCAAAGAAAAATCTCACAAGTAAACAACAATCACACTATGGAAATAAGAACTCATATTCATATCCATTCTATAACTATATATTTTTTTAAATTAGGTTTGAGGGACTTTTGTTTTCTTATGGGTTTTTTTTCCTTCTAATTTCTATCTAAAGACTTATTCCAAAAAGCCCGGGCATTCGTGCGGCCCGGGTTCGATCCTCAGCACCACATACAAACAAAGATGTTGTGCCTGCCAAAAACTAAAAAATAAATATTAAAAAAAAAAAGATTCTTATAGGCATTTTTTTACCCTTTAAAATCTCTGGAAATGGGGATGCATCTCATAATCAATTTTTTTTTCTTAACTCTATATAAAATAGCGGTGTGTCTTAAGAGATGGCATGTTAAATTTGATACATTAGAATAAGTTAACATAAATTTTAAATTTTGGCTAGGTGTGGTAGTGCAGCCCTGTAATCCCAACAACTCATGGAGGCTGAGTAAGGAGGACTGCAAGTTTAAGGCCAGTCTCAACTTAGCAAGACTCTGTCTCAAAAAATAAAAAAGACTATGCCCAGCAATACCAAGTTCATCCTATCTGAAAACAGCTCTCTAGCATGTGCTCTCTATAAATATTACAAAACACCCTGAACTTCACTTCAAATAAAATCAGTGCAATCACCTTATGTGGACCATTTAGCATTTTAGTATTATTTCAGTGTAACAGCAAAGTAATTGTTGGAAAAGTGAAAAATTGGTTATTTGCTCAAAGAGAAAATAAATAATTTGTTATTTTCTTAAAAAAAAATAAATAGAAATAGGCTACTGTGTAGATTGGGGAGGATAGGTTGATGGTAGAACACTCCTGGTTTCTGCCAAAAAGAAAAAAAAATTTAATTTTTATGTAAATCAATTCTATATAATTTTGCTCTTTACCAACCTTATACAGAAAGTTTTTTCCATACTGAAGAGAAAGACATTTTATGGGTAATTTGTTAGTTGGCTAGGTGTCAGCTGAGTCAGGGAATAAGTATTTACTTGATCATGCTCTGAAGAAACACTAATGTCAGCAACAGATGTCAATATTCCTTTGCCCTCAAAAGCAACAGTTAACAGCTTATTATAAGACAATCTTCTTCTAGAAAAGAAAATTTCTAGGGCTGGGGATGTGGCTCAAGCGGTAGCACGCTTGCCTGACATGCGTGCAGCCCGGGTTTGATCCTCAGCACCACATACCAACAAAGATGTTGTGTCCGCCGAGAACTAAAAAATAAATATTAAAAAATTCTCTCTCGGGGCTGGGGATGTGGCTCAAGTGGTAGCGCGCTCGCCTAGCATGCATGCGGCCTGGGTTCGATCCCCAGCAGCACCACATACCAACAATGATGTTGTGTCCGCCGAGAATTAAGAAAAAATAAATAAATGTTAAAATTCTCTCTCTCTCTCTCTCTGTGCCCCCCTCTCTCTCACTCTCTCTTTAAAAAAAAAAAAAAAAAATTCTCTCTCTCTCTCTCTCTCCTCTCTCACTCTTTCTAAAAAAAAAAAGAAAGAAAATTTCTATCTACCTGTCATTCCACTATAATATTACGTTAAAAATGAAAAAATTTATCATCCGAACTAATTACTGAGTCTGAAATAAGCATAAAGAAGACCCAGGGAGAGCATGCCAAGAGAAATAGGACTGTAAAACAAGCAGTGGGCATTTACGTGAAACAGAAGTCCTATTTGCCCCAAAGAGGCAATTTTTAAAATACTTCCAATAAAATTACCTGCTTCATATAGATATTTTGGGAGTTGAGTTGTTTTACCACTTCCTGTATTTCCAGTAACAATAAGGAATGAATTGTCCCTCACTGCTTGAATAAGTTTTTTTCTTTGTTTCTGAATAGGAAAAGTTGGAGTAGTTCCTCCCTCTTGTGATGTGCATCCTTTCTCTTCTGGAACGATAGGAAAACAATTGTGCAATTTAAAGATATTTCTGATGATATCTCAGAATTGAAAACAAAAAAGGCAATAGAATTCTAGAACTGGAAGGGATCGATTCAAGACTTTTCAGTTAAATCAACTGCGTACAATTCGTAAGTGAAGCTTTATAAGCCCGGAATAACTTTTTAGTAAAATCTAACATCTTCAGCAGTGGTTAAGGCTTAACTCAAAGTACTTGACAAAGTAGGTCTAGCACAAGGCAATGTAGGTGCATGCATACCTACACAGACGCACAAAATCCAATTTTATTAAACAATAGACCAAAAACTGGAACACGGCAGAAAACTCTCAGCTGAATTAGAAGCCACCTGTGTTTGCTTCTGATTCATGGTTCAAGTTAGGTCCCTGTTCAGAGTGACTGATATCCCAGAAGGCCAAGTGGTGGGTAACCATGGAAACTGGCTCCTGGAAACTGGCTCCCTTCATACCGTACCCAAAGGCAGGCTGGCGGCCCGACGAAGGGGGTGGGGGAGGATGAATGGGTAGAGAACAAAGGCTTTATGAGCCTGTTTAACAGAAGAACGTTTTTCGGCTTTGGGGTTCACTTTTTTGTCCCCAGCGAGGTTTTCACCCAACTTGGGTATGGGACCGCCCCCCTCTAAGCCAAAGTGCTCACTGGACGCAAAGTTCGCCTCCGGCTTCCAGCACCAGGAGAACGCCCCGGCTTCCTCCCCTGCTCTTCTCTACTGCCAAAAACAGACTTTTATCCCCCCAAACCCCCGTGCCATAACTCCCGCTGGTTTCCGTAGCGTCCCGCGGACCGCACCTCTATCAACGATGGAAACAGCAGAGGGCCGCTCTTCCTGGAGCTCTCTTGACCGCTCACCCTCCTCCAGCCGCCTTGGCGCCCTGCCCGCGACGGCGGGAAACCGGGACATAGACCTGGCCCGGAGCGGAGGTGAGTACGTCCACTGATCTGGGGAGATGGGAGGGGAAAGGCGAAGACGCGGCTTGATGACGTAGAGGTGTTTACTTCCGCGCGTGCGACTCGAGGTGAGGGGAGGGGGAGCGGCTCGATGACGTGGCGCGGGGCTAAAACCCCCTAGACCCGTGCGCGGGACATGGACCGAAGCCGCACCCCTGGGTGTTTCCCGCCAGCTTCCACGCACGTTCTGCCTCGGGCCGCAGAAGCGCTAAAGGCCAGTTCCTGGTCTTCCTCTTGGGAGCCAAGAGGCGCAAAAACACCTCCTTTTTTCTCCAGTGTGGTCACTCGCAATCTCTTCTGCCTTCACACAGATGACTTGTTGTGACCCTTTGCCAGATACTGGAGCCATTCTACAGTATGGCCTTAGGCAGCTCATTCTCACATTTATGGATCTGAAATGACCTGTTCAAGATGCGCAGTTCCTGAGTTGCCGGGCTGAACTTCTCATTGTTTCCAAAGTTTACTTCTCCCCTTGCTGTTTCATTTTCTTCCTAGAACCCTGCATGTAACTTGTTTGCATGTTTTCCCTTCCCTTTGAAAGACCCTAGCCCAGTCAGCCTAGTTACCTAAGGCCAAGATATGAAACCAAGATACCAGACACGCCATAAACAGGTTCAGGCACCAGGCATGCTCTCCCGACAACCGGTTGAAGAACAGAGCACCCATATCCTGAGGCATAAATGAATAAACCGGAACAGATAAGCAGGAACAGAAAGAATAGAATGCAGACCAATAGTTTTTAGAATGCAGACCTGTACCCCCTAGGTGGCCTATATGCTAGATTTAAACAAACCAATAAGAAACCTGTTGCTTCCCGCGCGCGCGAAACCTGTCCCAAACCCTATAAAAATCTCTGTATCCCCAAGTCCGGTGTGCCAGTTCGCCAAAGCTCCGGCTGAGGTTCTGCTGGGCACCCGCAGGCGCCTGTGTCCCAATAAACCAACCTCTTGCTTTTGCAGCCAGTGTTTCGTGTGATTCTCCTTGGACAGGGATACGGGGGTCTTTCATTGGACGGGGGTCTTTCACCTTCAACTAGAGGGGAAAACACTGTAAAAGCCCAAACTGTAGAACATCATTGTTCACCCAGCAGCCAGCACGGTGACTCAAAATGGGCAGTCGATATTTGTTGAATTCGCTGGATAAACGAAGGAATGAATAATTGATCTTAGGAGTTGATCTTAATAGATGTACATTCGTTGGAAACCTCAATAACTGATCAGAACCTGCCAATTTTGTAAATAATGTTGACTATAACAAAATCAACACAATATAAAGAAGATTGCTTCTTAGACTTTTCGGTCGTTCCTGCTGTGGTAATTAACCAAAACCTATTACCAAAGAAGTCAACTCAACCCAGAGCAACGGTGCAAGCCAAGCCGGTAATCCCAACGACTGGAGAGACTGAAACAAGAGGATCACAAGTTTGAGGCCAACTTTGGGCAACTTATCAAGATCCTCGGAAAGATCCTTGATGTCTCAAAAATGATGATGATAAATGGAGATCATGGCTGGGGATGTGCTCAGTGATAGAGTACCCCTGAGTTCAATCCTCAGTACAAAAAAAAAAAAAAAAAATAAAAAATTTAAAAAAAAAAAAAAAAAAAAGTACAAAAAAAAAAAAAAAAGGGTCGAGGTGGGTGGCAGTGGCAACTTAAAGCTATCATTTCACCATCAACCCCTCTCTGAACAGACTTGAAAAGACATACTATAAGGTTATTGGAATCCAAGATTTAGCTGAGATTTAATTTGTACTTATGCCAATTTCTTTAGAATGGGGCTGATCAACATCTACTAAGATGCTTTTTTTTTTTTTTTGTGGTGCTGGGGATTGAACCTAGGGCCTTATACATGCAAGGCAAGCACTCTACCAACTGAGCTATATCCCCCAGACCCTAAGATATAATTTTAGCAGATATAAATGACACCAAATCTGGTAGAAGTAGAACATCTTCAGTTTCAAACTCTCATCCATTAAGGGCATCTCCCAACTTTCTGGATTCTGTTGTGAATTCAAAATATTACAAATCAGGAAAAAAAAATACTGTACAGACAAAGGAAGGTATTGGTGACTTCAGTAGGTAAGTACTTCAGTACAAGGCCAGTTATACATAATAGTATCACTTTCTTAAGAAAATGTGCAGAATCACCATGCATAATGGCACACGCGGGTAACCGCAACCACTGGGGAGGCAAAGGCTGGAGCATAATGGCACACGCGGGTAACCGCAACCACTGGGGAGGCAAAGGCTGGAGAATCGCAAGTTCAAAGCCATCCTCAGCAATTCAGCAAGGCCATAAGCAACTTAGCAAGACCCTGTCTCAAATTTTTAAAATAAGGGCTTGATCTGTAGCTCAGTGATAGAGCACTTGCCTAGCACATGTGAGGCATTGGGTTTGATCCTCAGCGCTACATAAAAATAAATTAGTAAACAAAGATTATTGTGTCCATCTACAACTAAAAAAATGTTTTGTTTTTTTTTAATTAAGATAAGGGCTGGGGATATGGCTCAAGAGGTAACATGCTCTCCTGATATGCGCAGGGCGCTGGGTTCGATCCTCAGCACCACATAAAAAATAAAATAAAGATATTGTATCCACCGAAAAAATAAATATTAAAAAAAATTCTACTTTTTTAGTTATACATGACA